ATGTACGGTGGACGCCTACGCAGAAATGCACGGCACCTTAAGAAGAAGAAGTGAAAGGTATCAACGTCGTTTTACTGGGGTTAACACTTAAGCCCTCTTTCGAGCACCAACTTTTAATTTCGTTAAGAGCAGTTTGCATGAGACTAGATATAGTCTGGTCATATTTGCCCCTTAATTGTAATAACTAGGTCATCTGCGTAACGTTGGGTTATAAAACTAGAATCATGCAGCTTAGTGAGGAGGTCATCCACAACCAAAGACCACAGTAAAGGCGATAATACTCCCCCTTGAGGGCACCCTTTTACCGCTGTCACAGTCACAGATTCTCCTCCAATACTAGCCGTGATGATTCTCGTTTTTAGCATTGACTTAATCCATTGTATTAGTGAGACTTCAATGCTTCTCTTTACTAGTGCTCTTTTTATGGATTCAAATGAGGTATTATCAAATGCATCCTCTATGTCAATGAAAGCGCAAGGAGCTTTCTAATCTAATCTAATCTATGGCAAACGGCTCAGTAGGTAAAACTACTGTCATTTTGTATTCAATTTCCCAATTTTGGTTTAGACTTTTCTTGCAAGTGGCTATTTGATCGCTTCTATCTAGCCACGTTATTTCTGATCCTTTTAAGATTGCCACTTTAGCATAAAAATCTGCTTTGAGGTTACCAAAAATACTAAAGTGTCCCTTTACCTAGACGAAATATAAAGTAGCATGTTCTTCCTTATATTAAGCGGTACAGGCGAAAAAAAATCCTGCACAAATTTTAAATGCCATACCAGTTAATATGAATGATTTATAACAACATTTATTGATTTTCTTGCATAATCTGCAACTTCAAAATATCACAATTTTACAAATTGTTACAACTACTTTGATTTACTTATTTATCTTTTTCTCGCTTCACAATATATGCAATCTATTTATCATGCTAACGATTTCCTTTTGGAAGTGTATTTTTCATTTTGGCACAAACTAGAAATAGACTTTTAAAGGGCGTACCCGAGGGCATCATTATAATCATGAATACTGATTTGATACGTCATAAATTTGGTTAATATTCTATAGGGAAAGATCGAAATTTATCGTTGACGTGAAAAGTATATTCTATTGTTAAGGAACAAAAGCAGATATCGTTACGTTTTTGGTAAAAGTATACTGTTTTCAGTTATTTTACCCATGTTTGATACTTTTTGATTTTTTTTTCAAGTCGTCTTTGCATCTACGTTATTTTTTAAGGCAAAAGGTGACAAAAGGTCATCAAATAACTTTAGATGGATCAGTGTAATGCTTTAATAGCAAAAATCTCTTGCACAGTTATAAAAGAAAATATGTAACAATAAAATACTGAAAACTTTGTTTTAAAAACTTCCACAAAATTTATTATAAAATCTTTTAGACTTTACGTTGAGGAGGAGAGAAGTGAAGTTGGTTATTCGAAATTATGTTTGTGTTTTTTAATTTGTTAATGTCCCTACATTCTAATAAAGATTGCTTAATGCCTTTATTTTGGATGTGAAAAATTTAAAACTTTCCTATTATTGAAAACCCTTTTATGTTCTGCTATACGTTTGTTAAAGTTTCTACCAGTTTGACCAATGTTAGTTTTTGGGCAGTCGCCACATTTAAGTTTGTATAAAACACTGTGCCAGTGCTTTTTATTTTGGCTCTTGTTGTTTTTAAAATATATTTGCCTTAATTTTTGTTTGTTCTAAAAGCTGATATTACCTTAGATTTAAGCATTTGCTGTTTCTTAAGTTGGATCAAAAAATAAGTAGACTTTTAGTTTATTTAATGCTAAGATTTCGGGCTTTACTAAACAGATGATTTTACGTTATTATTAATTAAATAGGATGACATTTATGACTTTTGACATTTATGATGAACTTTGTAGTTAGAGAATCGTTACAAATCGAATTTAATATCGGTCTTTATTTTTGTGTTTGTTTTACTGTTTTTTATTGGCAGATCAACTTTCAATTTCTTACTTTTCATTTAATGTCTATATTTTCATAAATATTTTTCATGTTTAGAATAAGTACCTGATGACTAGAAACGCATTGATCTAGCGTAGATAATCGATGTGATGGCCCGCTAATACATGAGGCTACTTGTGACGACTGCATGTTGTGACGCTAGTTCCGTGACGCATACCTCAAGATTTCAGATTTATAGAGTGAAATGCTAACAAAAATTAAAATACACTACCAGCATAGAAGCTTTGCTTCAATTATTACTTAAGTTTTTACCAAAAATTTTGTCAAACAGCAGAATTTTTATTCATTTTTTTCAATTCCATATAATACTTTTAGTTACATGTATTATTAAAAATCAGCATTTATCGATCTGAAATTGCGCTATGGCAACCACGGGGTCAAACTCAGCTTAATTTCTACATACGACAAAAGAGGTATTTAATCATAACGAATGAATTTTTTACAATAAAAACACAAAATTTGAGTTCGTTTTGCTGTTGGCTTCAATTTCAATAAGTACACATTTACCACTAATGGGGGCGACAGTGTAATAGGGGTCAGACGACATGTTTTGTTTGTTTGTATATTCAACGGAGCATATCAAATAATATAATGTTGAGGGTTTTTATGCCGAATGATAAGGATCAAGCAAAAAAGACATTATTTTCATAAATCGTTATTGGCTGGAATATTTGAAATATGAAGTGTAAAAGTATTTTCAAAAATACGTAAAATTCTGCTGAATTTTTCATAAAATCTACCACTGTATGCATTTGCAATATTTGTTACTGAATATTCATTAAAAACAAAATAAATAAAATTCGAATACAGTTGATGAAATAAGCTAAAGGAATTAATATTGTTTAGAAAAAACCAGTGCCATTCTGACTTTTGAGACGGCTACTCTAAAAAGTTCATTTGATGTACATCCGCACCACTTTTCAGGTTGCGCAGCCATGACATTCTACGCTTCCCTATGCTTCTCTTTCCTTGGATCTTTCCCTGCACAATCACTTAGAGCAAGGTGTATTTTTCTCCATGCGTAATATGTTCGAAATATTCCAATTTTCCAATTGTATTTAAAATTTCTATATCCATCCTTCTCAGGACCTCTTTGCTTACGACGGGTTTGGTCCACGAGATTTTTAGAGTTCTTTTATAAACCCACAGCTTGAATGATTCCAGTTTTTTATTGATTGTTGCATTTGAGGTTTAAGATTCCATTCCATAAAACAAAGTCGAAAAAACATTGCACCTCGTAAACCTAACTCTTACTCTCTTATTAATAAACACGGACTAACCTTGGACTAACATTAGTTCCAGCACTACACCAATAACATCCATTTTTCGTATTAATAAACAGCGACTAAGAACAGACTAAGCTAAACTTTGGCTAGTCTCGGACTAACATTTAATCCGAGGTAGTGGCAGGTTTAGAGAGTGACTAACTTGACAATTGACATTGGGTTGAGTTTCGTTTTGGTATTCATAACCTAAATTATTTTTGATTATTCATACATTATTTTATAATGGAAGATTATTTTATCAACGACTTAAGACTAATAGAATAACTTAATGACCATAGAAATCAGTGAAATTAGAAAAAATCCTCTAGAAGAATTAGAAGAAAATGAATTTAAGTGCAAATATCGCTTTTCAAAAGCTACAGCAGTTTTTATAATAGATATGCTTAGAGATGATTTATCTGGTGATTCCAGAGGTGGACATATACCTCCTCATTTAAAAGTTTTGTCTGCAATAAGAACTTGGGCCCGTGGAGAAAAACGTGGAATTTTTATTAAAGTTATATAAATAAAAGTATATCTATATTGCATCTAGTATCTTGCATTATCGTGAAAATCATGAAAATCATCACCGATATATTGAGAAAAGGGTACTACATGATTCGCTAAAATTTCCTCAATATACCGGTGTTCAGTCAATCAAGTCTCAATAAATACCAATTCAGTGTGCGCCTCTCGGGATGTTCCTGCTCATTACATCACTTAACCCCCTCCATGGTTAACGCGGGGACTGAAAGCGCACATCCCAAATCTCTTTCCAATTCGACACCATATTCGTTCTTTCCCATCCGATATGTGAAAACAGTATCTCTACTCATCCGTAAAAAGAACATTACTCCATTGTTTCAAAATCCAATGTAAATGTTTTCTGAAAAATTGTAGTCTAGCCACACTGTGTCGTGGAAATAACTTGGGCCCAGTTGCTGGTCTGCAACTTTGCAAACCAAATTCATGCAATCTTCGACTAACTGTAAATACACTTCCATTATTGCGTCGAACCTCTTGAAGCTAATTTCTTGTTTGCACCTTTGTTAAATGTCGATCCCGCAAAGCGCAGACTCATATAAAACAATCATCTAAAGGGGTAGAATTACGTTTCCTGTCACTTTCCGCTTAACGCTTGTTTGTTCAAATTCATATAAAACGTTCGCACAATCTTCGACACTAAAAACCATGATCAATCATAAGTAAACAAAATGTAAGTGTCAATATCACATAGTGATAACAGTCACCAAAGCCACCTCGTTGTATTACAAAATAGCTCCAAAATAATCATAATTAAAAAAATCCTAAATTGTGGGTGGCAAATTTGCAGACGGAATTATTCCACAGGATGTTTCAAAGTTAATTTAATAAAATCACGTTTTAATTAACCCCGTAAAATAAGTCAAATATAAAATTTTATTTAAAAACTGACTCCACCAAATTAAAATTTATAAATTTATACACATTGTGCCAAAAAAAACAAAAACAAAGTAGGGCTAATAATAAAAAAATTGAACTTGACCAAAATTTTTTCCATTGCGTTTTTTTGCATCTTAATGTATATTAGATATTGTAGGTATATATGCATATAAATGCACATAATATCAGCTTTAATACAAATCGTATATTATCAAGATATTTAAAATACTTTTCACAGCAGAATAACTTTTGAAATTATCAATTTTTGGGTAAAAAATTTCTCATTTCTTAATAAAACCATGTCACGATACATAAATCATAACCTACCTGTCGTTTTCAGTCCTGTGGGTTCCTTAATAACAATATCATGGCCGTCTTCTCTTCGCCACTGCACGTGAGGGTCTGGGTGTCCCCGAGCTCGACAAGTCAACTTAACGGTTCCGCCTTCCGGGACCATCACGTCCCCCGAAGTGTCTTCCGGAATAAAATCCGGGGGCACGGACACATCCAGGTATCCGACCTGAAAGAATAAATATACTTAGAATGCTGGAATTTCTTTTTTAAGAGCTGGGTTTTATCTTGTACGCTTTATGATGTATGAAAATAAGAGCATTTTTGATGGTCTTGAGTGGATGTTAAGATCTTTGTGGGGTGGGCGATTTTGTGTGTAGAAACATTTTTATGGATTATTTATGACAACTTAATAAAAATAGGCTTTTTTAAATATACAGTAAAAGGCAAATAATCAAATATAACATTTTTCATTCAATATTGTGTATATTAATAATATTACTATAAATAGGTATATTAAATATTATTTATTTTGATCGTAAAATATCTCTAAATAAAAGAAGAGATTTAAGACCTTTATAACACTTAAAAAATTTACCAATCTCACATCTATCTATCTATCTATAGCATAAAATCTATTCATTTGTTGAATTAAGGCCTCTCCCATTTGTCTCCATTTGTCCCTGTCTTCTGTTTGTCTTTTCCACATTGAACCTGCTCTTTACTCAGTGTCATCTTTCCATCTCATTTGCGGTCGACCTCTTGACCTTTTTGCAGTATATGGTCTCCAGCGGCCAATTTCTTTATTCCAGCTTCCATCCTGATATCTTTAAGATATCAGGATGGATATCTGAAAGATATCAGGATGGAAGATGGATTTAGATCCTACCAATCTCACATAGTTAACCGATTTTAGGTTTACAAAATAAGTTATAAAGATTTTTAATACTTCTATAAGTAAAAAAACCATAGAGGCTACCGAAATTGCATAAAGCCTGCGGTGAACCGATTGAATCTGTCGGGCCTATTCAGTTTTTCTAATATCTCTATTCGGTCAGCGAGTCCAAGTACGGTCCTGGCGGTCTATGTACCTTTCGACGGCATGGCCAGCTATATACCTGGCATGGCCAGTTACTAATGCGTATTGAAGCGATAGTGTCGACGTTATATATCTGTTTTCGTTTTCTCAGACCCAACCCATTCCTTAATGTAAGTTTTTTTTATGAAAGTACAAAACAAAATGTGCAGTGCATTGTTTTTAGAGCTTAGTAAAACAATGCATTCTTACGAGGGAGGGATAAAACGTTTGTAATGTCTCTACGAGGAAGTTGCAACCGACGAGGAGGAAAATTATGAAGATTCATATTCCGATGAGTCTATTGTTGGAAAATTAGAAAATGAAGATGGTAATCATAACTCAGAGTCTGAATTAGATTTATCAGACATTGAACTAAACTTACAAGCATGTATTCCACAAGGTTTGTCAAATTAACACCTTTATCACAATACCAAAGATGGAATGAGATGGAATAAGACATGCGGATCACGAAGTATTAGAACTAGACAAGAAAATATCATCTTAAAACTTCTTGGAGTTATTCGTGAAGCAAAAAGTTGAGTTAAAAATTGATCAAGTTGCCTGTTAGTTCCCGTGAAATATACCAGTACTTCGTGTACTTATCTCTACCAATATCCTTACAGTTAGTTCACAGGAACTAACAGGCAACACGATCAATTTTTATCGTATATTAATTCACTTCATAGTCATATTGAATTTACAATAGAAACAGAACAAAATCAATCAATCAATCAAGCCAAAATTAAAAACATTTACACAGTGGTGTGTACAAACTTAAATGTGGTGACTACCCAAAAACCTACATCGGTCAAACTGGTACAAGCTTTAAGAAACGAATAGCAGAACATAAAAGAGCTTTCACCTTGTTAAGCTATCTTTGTTAGAATCTATGGAAATCAACAAATTAAAAAACACAGATATAATTCTAAATGACCAACTTGAGACAAACAGTTCTCCCCTCCTCAACCTATGTCATTAGAGACTATAAAATGTAAACCCATGCCAAAAATAGATCACTTGAGAAAGGCAATCAGCCGAAACAGCTGTAGTGATAAGAGGTTAAAATAAATTTTGTGGAAGTTAAAAAACAAAGATTTCAGTGTTCTTTTGTTACACAAGATGAATTTCCAGCAAGTAACTGTCGAATCCATCAATTATTTAATAGTATTTCGTCTGTCGTCTACTGTTTTTTAGCCTTCTTTAGGTAACTACTTATGATAGATTGTACTCACATGAGCTCAAAACCTCAATTTATAATCTAACAAATAATTAAGGTATTAATTAGCATCACGGCACAGAGGTTATTGCTTCGATCATACCATACCAATAAACTTTGCCTACATTAAAATTTAATTTAGGCCTTAATTGCGACACTTGGAAGTTCAATTAGAAAATATATTATTTGGCAATTTATTTAGTTGTAGGTAAATGAACTAATTATTAAAATATTATACGATATGGTTTTACAAATTCACTTATACTTACATGGTGAAACTATAAAAGATAAGGACGTTACGAATAATGTGAGATTACAAATTAAGGGGTTAATTTGTGATTTAACATATTGGCTACTATATAAAAACAAATAGACGACCAATAGAATGGTCATCCACTGTTTTTTAGCCTCTGACCTATATTGTATCAAACTTTCTTGAGCTGGTTTCAGTTATGTGTTTTTTATATTATACCACTTTTTATTTTACATCTATAATTTGTTTGTTGTCAGTTAGTTATTTTTGTATATTAACATTCACATTATTTTTTAATCCGTTTTTTATTTCTTCGTTTTTTAGCATTCCTGCATTAATTTTTGGTTGTAGTTTTCTGAGTTTAATTCTTTTTAATTTTATTTTCACGTTAGCAACTAACGAATTGTGGTCTAAGTTAACATCTGCTCCAGGATAAATCTTAACTGAGGTTATAGAGTTTTATATATGCTATTTAAGAGTGTATCTGGTTTTAAGAGTGGTGAAGAAGACGTCTGTGTATATAGTTTTCCCTTAGGAAGCTAAATCCAAGTATTGTCAATTACCATATTCTTTTCTTGGCCGAAATCTATGAGCCTTTCTCTTCATTCGTTTCTATTTCCCAATTCGAACGGTCCAACTTTATTTTCAACTGTACCTAATTCAATTTTTGCTTTAAAGTCTCATAAAATTTAAGTAATATCTCTAGATTTTGTTAGCTTAATTAAATTGTGCAATTCTGAATAAAACTTTTTGATCTCGAATTGTTAAATCCATCATCAGTGTAAACGAGGTATACATGCTATGAGCCACCAAAATATATGGGTCAAAACCCTTTAAATGTTATAAATTTACAGTTGTTTTACATTATATTTAGTTACAAATTAGGATGTTTAAGTTACCGTTGGAATTGGTAACATGGCGACGTATGACCCTACATAGGTAAAATGGTCCTGAGACGAAGTGTCTTCAAGGACCTGTTGATAACAACTGGTGTAATTGATGTAATGTAATTGTGATAGCCCGTTTGGGCATTTTATTATATACCTTTAATAAAGGATTAGAAATAAATTTTTTGTGATATATGGTATACAGCCAGCTACAGAAACTTAGTTTCCTAGTGGATTTTCGATCTCGTCTGCGGTCTTATCATCTGTGGGAGCATAGACTTGGATCATATTAGTATTACAGTTCCGTGCTTGAATTTTTAGCATTATTATTATTTCTGAGATTTTAATCACACCTTGCACTGATTTTCTAATAATGTTGCTTATGATGAAAGCCTCTCAGTATCGATGATCAGTTTTGTCTCCTCCAGTGTAATAAATATTGTGGTTATTTATTGATATCTCTCCATTTCCTGACCATTGTACATTGCTAAGTCCAAGTATATCTATATTTAGCCTCTCTTTCTCTTTAATAATATTATGTAGTTTTCCAGGCTGATACATACTTCTTACATTCCAGGCAGCTATTTTTATCTGAGAGGGTTGAGTATTTTTATTTATTGTTTTTTTTTGTGCAACGGTTGTGCATGTTGACGACCGAGGAGGCCTTGAGTTGTGATGGTTTAATCTGTTGACGCTAATTATGCTATTTTAATGACACCACTCAACTGGTCCCTGAGAGGGTATTAAAATTTCTGGGAAAACCAACTTGACTTTAAGAAAGTTTAAATTTATTTCACTTTCATTTTTTTAAAACTAATTACAAGCAAAACATTATTCAATGCTTTAACAGTTTTAGTGAACGTGGAAGACCTGCATTGATAGTAGATTCTCAGATATCAAAATTGGATCTTAATATTTTAGTTACAACTACTGAAGTTGCCTGAATCGCCATATGTTACATTCTAGAACAATAAATTGTTAGTGGGATTAGATCAACTGAAGACGTGATTTACGAAGCATCGTATTCCTCCTGAGACTCGAAGCCATTGTCAGTGAGTTAATGAAAGGGAGCACACGTTTTGAAAACTTAACGCCCGACGCCAACGAACGCGACGTCCGCCCGCGCAAACCAACGCACAGTGCTAGTTGACCGCTAAACTTCGATAATCGACTCCAGCCATAAATTAGCTACTGTACAAATACCACCGACATCTATTATTTCGCCGGATGGGATATACCAAAGGGACTGTCTTTTGTCACATATTTTACGCAGTTTATTTTGCATGAGTACATTCGTTAATTACTCGGAAAAGTGGGAAATTGCACTGTGGGCGGCGAAAAACGCGATAGTTAGGATTTGATATGTGTTGACTAGATTTATGCAGCTGTTTTTAGTAATAAGTGAATAATAAATAGCAATTAGGGAAAATATTACTTTTATATACAAAAAATAAGCTAAAATTGTGGAGAAAAAAGAAAACAAAACTACATACTGACTGGTGGTAGTATAAAGCCGAATATGACCTGCAAATACCCTGCGCCGCAAAATTTACTAGACACTTAGTTTATTTTAAGTAAAATTACAAAGTTTTTGGAAAGCTCTAACGTGTTATTTTTTATCCTTGATTAAGAACCTTTAGCCACATAATTACATGGAAATATTAGTATCCATTCATTCACGATTGTACAAGCAGTACACTTTTTAATGCTTACAGAAAAACTATAATCAATTTAAAAATGTTTGTATTATCTTCACTTATTACGTACAATACATTGTACGTTTAAGTTTAATGGC